TCCAATGAGGGCCCATCCAAAATGATCTTCGGTAGCGTCAGATCGGGGGAGGACGGCGCTGGGCTGTCATCGGGGTAATAGCTGAATATCGTATCATCTTCACGAATCTCTGATTCCTCCGCGGCCTCTTCGGCAAGAGGCAACTCGGGAAGCTGCTCTGGGAGGGTGACCAGTTTCATGAGGTATTGAAAACCGTGGCAGCCGCCGGACTCGACTTGAATGCGCAGCGCAAGGTAAGGGTTGGAGTCTTTGGTCATGATTTCTGAAAGGCGCTGTTTCGGCAGGAGGTTACCCATGTTAGTCGGTCTGTCCGCTAGCACAATGAAAAGGAGGAAGGGGCCTAAAGGAATAACGAGCCTTCGCTGCCCGCTCGGTAATTTCCAACACCATCTCGTTCCCATCCTCGTCGTTCTGGGGGTTGAATAACGTGTGTGTGGCCTTGCTCGGGGCTGTGGTAGTGAACAGGCGCATGTTGAACTGGCTTGAAGATAGGGATTGTCTGGTGCGCCATGGCGTCTTGGAAACCGGAGTGGTAGTTGGAACAGTCGCTATTCTCCTGGCGACGCTGTGGTGAGCGCGCGCACGCAGCGGGAGCAGGATATCGGCCAGAATAGGGGACGGGGCGGTTCGGCGCATGCTCAATTGGACGAAGAGGCTCGCTGGTGCGGGCGCATTGGCGCAGCGGAGGGGCGGCATGACGACGGCGGTTGTGTAGAGGTTCTAGGTGTAGGTTGTTCGCAAATTGCTAGGTTCCTCAGCGTTGCCGGAGATGGCGCTTGGTCGTGGCTTGGGTGTTAAAAAAATTGCCGTTCCGGGAGCAACTGGACAAGAGCGGGTGCGTCGGCGCAGGTAGTGACCGCGGGGGAGATGCGGAGTTTCGGCTTGGGGAATGTGTCAAAGCCGGTCACTTTGGCAGCGAATTTTCGGGGCGGCGCATGATGTCAGGTCCGCCTGCGAACGGTCTCGGGAACCACTGATTGCGTTGAATGATGCGACGGGTGGGCAGGTGGCTAGCAGCTGACAAATCAAGGGATATCTTCGTCCCAAATAACTTCGACTTCAGGAACCACTGCAGTAAATGACCTCACTACCAACATTTCTCGAGGAAACTACACGTCTAGACAGGAATACCATTCAAACTGAGGAACAATCATCCCGATCGAATCAATTCAAGGGCAATGTTTGCATGCGGAGATTTGGTAATGATCACCAGGCTAAACATCACTTTTCCCAAGGTTTCGTGTCTGTTCCACCTCTGAACCATCAAATGCGAAGCAGTTGCTCTTCAACAAACGTCAAAACTCATTCCTGTTGGAAATTCACAGAGACATATAACAAAAAGTAGTGGTACAATCCAGCAAGCGAGAGTACTGGCTTGGCAGGTCACCGATGGACACAGCCCCTGATCTCTTCTCCCCAGAAGCTGTTGGTTTCAAGGATCATCATGAACCAGCTTGAAAGCTTCCCTTCAAGACCTAAAAGATGGAAAACAGTTGGCTTCCATCGTCGGGGCATGCTCCCGAGTCCACCCTCTCATCGCCAGCAATCAGGCAAATCGAGCCCTTCTCATTGACCGGTGCAAGAGCAAAGCTGGTTGCTCCGTTGAACGGGAATTGTTGTCCGGTGCTGGTTTCGCCCTCTGTGTGTTCGCGGTCAGAAATCCATCATCTCGGCAAAGCATTGGTGATTCGACTCACCACCAGCGGCACGTCCACCGCAGGAGAAGAGCATGACTGTATCACCAGCCGCTCGGCGGCCGTCAAAGTTGAGACAGCCCTGAGTCTGCATAGACCAAGCTCAGTTAGCCCGACGTCGCTCTTCACCACGTCATAGATGTGCAGACAAACCAAAGTGCTGACTATCAAAGCAGCCGGTGTCCCATTTTTGTCCTGTTGGTTATGCTTTCCCGAGGTAAGAACGTCCCATTTCTCGTTGGGGGATCCAGTACACTCCACCAGTTGAATGGGGATCAAGTTCTCGCGAAAGTCGCCAGCTGTCGGATCAACAAAGAGACACCGTCCGTCGGGGGCCCGGATCGAGACATCGCTGAAAGTGCGGGTGGCCGTATCATCTCGCTGGTGAGACTCTGCAACTGCTGTGGACTGCAAAGTACCACCTGCCCGCGAAACCGGTACAGCTTCGGTCGGGTTGAAGGTGGGAATGCCGCCGTTTCCGGAACTGCTTCCTGGACCTGAACCCGACCCGCCGTTCGGGGACGAAGTGACGGACGCCGTGGCCGTAGCATCAGCTGTCGTGGTGACTTGAGTGGCGAAGGTTGTCGGCTGTTGTGAAGTGGTGCTCTCTTGTGCGTCGGTATTTCCCCCAGTGTTGGTATCCCCTCCCGTGTCAGCGTTTCCTCCTCCATTGTTGTTTCCACTACCGGCGCCGTCTCCAAAGGCGAACGACTGGCTAGATTCGCCCGGGTTGCATGGTGCAACGTTAATAGTGTCACCCGAGACCGTGAAGCATGTGTCCTTTGCATTTTGAGGCTGGAAGGAAAGAGGTCCAGATGAGCCGTCAAAGGCAAATATCTGGGAGTCAGTGACCTCGCCACCTGGAAGATGTCAGTGCCAAACATCTCTGTTGTAGGGTACTTTTGCGACAAGTTACTTACCACCATCAGCTCGGCCACCGCATGAAAAGAGAATGACTTGGTTTCCAGCCGCCCGACGGGGATCGTAGCTGAAGCAGGCTTGTGTCAACGTGCTCACCACGAGCATACCACCGTCTCCGGAGATATGCTTGCCGCTCGTGATAACATCCCACCCCTGACCATCGGTAGAACCACAGTCGGCAACTTGTATAGGGGTCAAGTTTGCCCGGAAGTCGCCGGACAGTTGATCAACGAAAAGACATCTCCCGTCCGATGTCTGTCATCCAGTTAGCATTTGTTGTTTCAAACCTTATACTTTGTTTAAGTACCTTGATTTGGACATTGGAAGAGGCACGGGTAGCACTGTCGTCCCGCTGTTGGGCTTCCGCCGTAGCCTCTTCGTTGAGCGAATCGACTGCTCTGGGAAGCAATGGACTGGCTCTAGCAATCGCTGCTAGCGCGAGCATAGAACCAAGAGAGGCAAGCATAATAAAGGAAGAGGATATTCAACACTTTATCGACTAGTGTCAAGGTGTTCAAGAATGATCAGAGTAATGAACGAAGGAAAACAATGTCTGTGTAAATGAAGGTAAACCTGCCAGCAGGTAAAAGAGAAAATGTCTGCAATAAAGACAAGAACAAAGTACACTTAAAATAAAATAAAAGAAGCGATGCCAGTCACAAATTAAGCGTAAAATCGCGAACGCTATACCGGAGGGAATAAGAACCTATTTATTCCAGGCCACTCCGGCAAGAACCAAGATATTGTTGATGACAGACGCAGTGTGAGGGCGTTAAGCGCCTGTGGAGTGATTTGGCGTACTGGTCGCTGTGTCCGGCCCAGTTCGGGACTGATACTTTGCGTAGAGTTTCAGGCCGCTCTAGCGCGTCCTGCAATGTCCAAGTACCCAAATAGAAGATCTCTTCGCACGTGGCTTTGACAGAATATTGTGGCATTCGCAGGTATCTTCAGCTGCAAGCCTGGAGGGCGGGAATATGTCGTTTCGGTGAAGACAAATTCCAAGTTTACGGGGCCTGTGACCGGCCCGCTCAAAGCGCCGAGGCTGGTGATTGGGACATGGTTGTGTTGGAGGACTGCAGCGACTTGGTCATCACCCGTCGTTAAGCTCGACGGCTATCACCTGAAAAGTAATCAGTATCCGTGATGAGGTTGACAGAGGAATTGATATTATCATGATGAAACCGTGTCTGTCAGAGATACCACGAAGCTGGCGTTAACGAATGGCAGCTATTCCAAGTCTTCCAGACAAGCACCTCGCTCATTGGCAAGAAAACCTTCCCGAGCGACGAATTGTTGTGTAACCCAGTCCTCATCTATCCCTACCATTGGTTCATTGATGCAGGAGGTATGGCTGTGGCGGCATGGGAGGCTAAGTCTAGAGGGCGGCTCGCGGATCTGGTAATCTGAAGATCTCCCGAGGACACAACATCATGCGTGCAGGTATCGTGATAGTCCAGCCTATACGAGAGATTCTGATGTGGATATCTGAGGATGTGATTATGATATAAAGCGTACTAGGTCTTCGTCTTCGCCCTTGACTATAGCGTAGAGGTAGACAAGCAGACAGGCGACGGCGCAATGCAGTAGGAACCCCTGTTGATGTAAGCGATTTCGACAACCCGATTTCTTAGCACGAGGGAGTGTGTTTTGCACATTGGGGATCTGGGTATACAGACCCTGTGACCACTACACACGACCGCCACTAGGTCTGCAAAGGGTACCTCCGGTGTACAGACAGGTATAGTGTAAGAATGCCCATCTCACCAAGATCAGACCCCTGTTGATGTAGATATGGGGACGTTGGTATTGCAAATATGCATCACAAGGATTGGGTTTAGTCAAAATTCTTTGCAAAAGGGGGTATTTGCATTGACAGAGGTTCCTACCTTACTGTATCAGACTTGCTCAGAATTTACGGAGGTCATTGGCCGATTGTGATCTACCAGGCACCTCGTGGTGTCATCAATGATGAGCAGCCTATGTTGCTGAAGAATGAGTGAGCGAGTGTCCATGATGGGTGATTGTGAGCCCCAGACTTCACATGCGGAGATGATGGATTCACACAGTACACTAGATGAACGGACTCTTTTTAAAGTCAACAAGGTTGCAAAGTGGAGTGGAATGGAATGCGGACTTTGGACTTGCGCTGGGATGATCCCAAATAATTCCAGACGCTGCAGGTGCTCTGCCAAGGGTGCTTTACGGGGGTTAGGGTTGGTAGAGCCGTGATTTGGAGGCGCTTCCACTAGTGTATGTAGGCGAGCACAGGCAAGGTGCAGAGGGCGGAAGGGCCACAGCCCTAATCGCCGCGGCGGTGCTGGCCCGTGCAGTCTTGATGCCAAGACTTCCATCCACCTAAAAAATTTCCACCGCCGGCAGCTATCGCGACTCTTTGCACCACCGAGCGAGCAACTTCAATTAAGTCGGCTAATCAACCCAACCAACCGTCAAAATGCCTGGAGGTGTCACTGTTCGGGACGTCGAGGTAGGCCACTACAGATCTCCGTCTTGAGATCTCCTCTGCGGCCGAACCAGAAACTTCAAATCGCAAATCGCTGTCCGAGTCCGAGTCGATCGGCTGGCAAACGCAATTCTGAGCCCTCGAAAGATGAGCTGAGCTGGAGCTTGCCGAGCTGGCCGGCGATCACGACGACGAACCACAACCAGCGGGCACGACAACAACGAAAGAAGAAAATGGGAGCAGGCGCGAGGGGGTCGAAAGACTTCCGATGACGGAATCATTGCTAATACGGTACTTCATTGTGATATGTAGCCCCACAAGTTCGTCAACGCCTATGCCGCTTTCTTGAAGCGCCAGGGCAAGCTGCCCGTTCCCGGTACGCTCTGCATCCCAAAATATCTCCCTGCAGAAGAGGCTGCCGGCTAACCCGTGATATCAGGTTGGGTTGACACCGTCAAGACCGGCCCCGCCAAGGAGATGCCCCCCCAGGACATCGACTGGTTCTACGTCCGCGCTGCCTCCGTTGCCCGCCACGTCTACCTCCGCAAGACCGTTGGTGTTGGCCGTCTTCGTCGCGTCCACGGCACTGCCAAGAACCGTGGCAGCCGTCCCTCCCACCACGTCGAGGCCTCCGGCTCCGTTGACCGCAAGGTCCTCCAGGCCCTCGAGAAGATCGGTGTCCTCGAGCACGATGAGGAGAAGGGTGGCCGCCGTATCACCCAGCAGGGCCAGCGTGATCTGGACCGTAAGTTTGCTTCTGGAAACAATCTTGGACGAAACGGACGCTAACGGACATCGTACAGGTATCGCCCAGACCGTCATTGAGGCCGATGAGGAGGATGACGAGTAAATTCGTCGCTAGATATCATGAATAATATCTAAATCTTCCCCCATTCACGAATACGATACCCCCAGTCTCTGGAGTGAAGGTTTTGCGTCGCATGATTTTGTTTTCCCGGTAGCATATCAGGTTTAGGTGTCAAATGGATTGCTTCTTGGTCATGCGCCGGGCTACTGGTCCTCCAATATCGTAAACATCCCAGTGTGAAATATCACCCCTATACATCCAGACCCCTATTGACTTGCCTGTGCTCAGTGCCAATGCCCTGGGTATGTCTCATTTCACCCATCGTAGTGTATATACCCCTCACGTTGTCGTCCGATCTTCAAAGTGAGGCTTGCGAGTTTGCTAGGGAACGTTTGTCCCCTCGCGCGCCCACTCCTGTTACATATCACGCCGGAAACAGGTGGTTGACAACACTTGGACCTCGCGCGTTTCCTCCCAAATCACAATCGATACTCTACCACCCATCTTGCCTGCGCGTCACACTCCACTCATACTTTGAAATTGGGAGAATCTATCAGCAAGATATTCTCTCGGAGTCAACCGTCTTCATTCACTCCATCACCATCCTCGCGTTGGAGCAATACTTTCTGTATCACGTCTATTTTTTATTATCTATCGGCGTTCATAGAAGCCGGTACCATAACCAGATTCTTTCTGTCCCGCGTTTATACCCAAAACAACTTCGTGAGATCCTCATCTCGTTCTGCTGTTACCTTGAGCTCACCTCGAGATTGGTGGTCCAGACGCAGGATTGCGAGTTCCATACCAACTGTGACATCCAGAGTCGCATCAAATCCTCACAGAACGACTCCATAAGTCATATCAACACGAAATCAAATTAAACATAAGTCACTATCATCCAACATGAAGCCCTCCGAGTTCATGACAAAGGCGCTTGGCCTACGCACAATACATGAAGCTATTCTAGAAGGAGACCTCAAACGGGTTAAGCGGATCCTTCACCAGGACAAGAGCGCCGTGAATACTCAGACCATCAGAGATCAGGTCACCCCTTTGCACTTGGCTGTGCTTAATGGTTCCCTCGCGACGGTCAAGCTGCTTCTGCTACAGAAGGCTTCCTTTAGTATCAAAGACAAGAAGGGATACACCGCGCGACAGTACGCTCGTTCAGCAACTATAAGGGCAAAGAAGTTGAAGCAATACGAGCGACTTGGCTGGCAGCCGGCCAAAAGGAGGAACAGAAAGGCTCGGTTCATTTCCACCATATTTCGCGAACCGGAAGCCCTTCGCGCGATACTTTCCACGAATGACCATCCTCTCTCAGGATCCACGATTTTGACAGACGGGAAGAAGCTAACAATTCTACAGAAGGTTGTCACTACGAGTCTGACGTTTCCTGTCCAAAATTCTACCTGTGGCTTCATCGCGTCATATATGTCGGCTGTCCCGCAGATGATGGCAGTAAGCGGATGGAAGGGCGAGGGGCGGTCCTCCACCCAAGGGGTCCTTCCCAATGAAACAATGACAGCTTTGGTCAGATATGCATACAATATCATGGGTTTCCCCCTCTACATGCAACCATACGATTGCCCAGGAGCGAGTGTCGTGCCCCCGGAGCATGTTGGGAGGTATATGGCATCACAGTGAGTTCTCCATCCATATGCCATTCATTTTCCCCTGTCCTAACTTTTGACAGCATTGAAAAGCAATTGTCAACAGCTTGGGTCCTGAAGCTACTCCAGGACTTTCTCAAGACCCGTGATTTGGCCCGCATGGGTGAGCTGAAACATATCAAGCTACCCACCGAGCGATCCGAAGCAAAGATATTCTTGAATCATAATCCATGTGGCAGGTCAGTCTATCTTCACATATTGATGTTGAGCTTCGCGCTATTGATTCCTTTACTAACGGCCTCCTTTTGTAGTTGTTTGGGCTATCTAGCCAAGATTCGTCGGGTGACTGGCGTCACCTTTGCCATTGAAACTATTCCGTTCGTAGTCCCCGGAAATCGAGCCAAGTCTACGGTATGCTCCAATTGCGGCGCCTGCAATATAACAACTGCTTTACAGCCAATCCCGCCATTGGGTGCCCGAAATTCTGCACCTGCCGCCGAGGCAGAGACAGATATAGTCGAGAGAGACAACGATTACGGAGAACTCTGCCGGCAACAGAAGTTCGATGAGGGTGGACCCATGGACGACTTCGGATCGCTGGTTAGCGATGAAGATAATGAGCTTCAAGATGAGCTCCCAGTAGAGCCGAGGGCCGACGACGAAGACCAGGTAGAAATGCAAGAAGAATTCATAGCCCCGATCAAGCCGAAGACCGCCACCGAACCAACTCGCCGGCAGGTCGTTGCTTCTAGACGGCTCCAAGGATTGCTAGGCACCTCTCCTCCGGGTCACTGGGAGGTGTTCCAAGGGCAAAATTTCTGTGCCAAGCCGTTGAAGGGTGCAAGAAAACGGCTAGGGCTCAACGAAGAGGAATTCAACCAATTCCTCGAAGCACAGTCTCCTCGACGCTTTCTGGGATCGCCAAGGGTTCCGTTGAGATCAATCAAATTTCGCACAACTCAATCCGGAGCTCGCCTAGAGGTACTTGGAAGCCCTCTTGCGGCGCCAAACGCACAGGGACGGTCTGACCAAGTGGTGAGAGAAGAGCATTTCGGCCGAGTATACAGCCAGTCTCAGGGAAAGGAGGAAAGGTGTAGCCCGCCAGAAGGGAGCGACGGGGCCTGCATTATACAGAAAGGCAGCGAAAAACCCATTGACTCGACCCAGGCCACCACCATTTCGTCAGTGTGTGCTTCTTTACTCGAGCCTGTATCAACCATAAACGGCCGTTCGGTTTATTTCCAGACTCCGGTTCCCGTATCGGCCCCATCACCGGCTACAGCTCTGGATCCGTCGTGTTTACCGTCGATAGCAGCCTCATTGCAAGGACCTCCAGTACAGCATTCCAAACGTCTAGATCAGACTGTACAGCAATCTTCATCACCGCCGCCTCGCTTGAAAGTGTGTCTTCCACGCCTAGATTCATCGGAAAAGTCGCAACATAGGATGATACCAGACGACGAACCCAAACAGCTGAACTTGAAACGGTTCAGCTACCGAGGAAGTGCGCATCATAAAGATGTCTATCCACATCTCTTTGGACCTCCGGCTTCTTCTCACTTATTTCAGCGTCTCAAAGTAGGACAGTCAAAGGGGTTACAAGCCAGCAGTACGCTAAGTTTGAAAAGCGCTATCAAAGACGCATCCGCTACCACTATAAAGCCTAGTAGAGCAGAAAAGCATATACGGCCCAGTAAGATTAGACGTATCCAGGAGAGGAGCGTGTTCGCCAAAGTTGTCAGGCAGTGTCAGGAGAATCGGCAGCATCAACAGCAGGCAAACAGCCAACAGCGGGACGAACATGAGCTACAGCAGCAAAAGTACGTGAAAGAGTACGTGAAAGAGTCGATGCAACATGGTGGGCACCCTGTGACTTCAAGGAAAGATCCCCCCATGATACAGGGTCTCGACAAGTCTTGAAATCGATCGAGAGAGCTGTCTCCGCTGCTCCATCCAGGGACGGCCTTAGTCTTGAGACCCCGATTTACCTGGAGTAGCGCGGCCTGAATTTCCGTATCATTCATAACGGTGGTCCAGTATTTACCATTACGACCATTTCAGCCACTTGGTTTACATTGTACGAAGCTTGGCCTGTCTGAAGAACAGCTGTACGAATGATGATGTTGGATTAGGATGTTTGTCGTGCGATGATCAAGAGGAGTACTGAACCTCAAGGCCAAGGCTCCTAAAGGGCTCACCCAATTTATGCAGATCGATCCCCGTTCCTATACTGAAAATAAGGGACTTGGCTCTTCCTTCCCACAGCAACCCCATGCGAAGGTTGTTGTCAAGGCGAGCTTTTAGGACCCCCTTGTACTCGTCGTTCTTTCTAGTTTTGGGAGTAGGCTCGGGTTCGGGTTCAGGCTCAGGATCATCAAGCCGCCATTCCATTTTCGCCTGAAAACTCCTCTCCTTCTTCCTGGGTGGGTGTGGTTCCGGCTCAAAATCGTTGGAAGGGCTCGCGCCGAGCAGGAAGCCGGCTGGTCTACGATTACTCCAGAGTTCCATACCTACCGCCCACTCGCTTTCATAACTGTACACGTTGAAATCGACCCGCGTTGCGAGCGAACAGTATTCTCGAGCTAGAAGGGCGTACGTGGCATTGATGTTGCCCATAAGTGGGTTTATGGTTAGGGTTGCGGTGAGGGGTGTCCCACGGTGTGCTGGTAGGGTGGCAAAACGTGCGCCAAGCGACATGCCGCCGGATTTGTTGAGGGTTCCGTAGTAGAGCTCTCCGCCGACGCTGAAGCGACCGTAGATGCGCTCCTTCTCGCCGGCCTGGGCATTTCCGTTGTTATTGTTGTTGTTATTGTTGTTGTTGTTGTTCTCTCCTGGCGTAGGTGTCCAGGGATCACAGGTCGAGGAAGAGGCGTCGCCGCCAAAGTTATAAAGACCACGAAAACCCAGCAGACCACCGTCGGTCGAGTAAAGACCTTCGAGACCATACTTGCCCTTGTCATACTGCACCAAGCCCAGGATGGTCCCGCCATTCCTTAAGGACTGCTCACTGACGGCTCTTACTTGGAGCTGAAGCGCCTGGGTAAAGCGCTTGATAATCATACCCTCGAGCAGTGATTTGGGCAGATACAGACGGCCGTATAGAAGAGAGTGTGTGTATATGCCTAGATCCTGATCTGTACTCCCTCCATCCAGCGCCCCACCAGCCACAGCGGCGTCAGATGCTGCGCCTAGTAGTGCTCGTGCGCTTTGTGGTGATGGCGGCAGTCCGGACAACGGGTCGGCATCGAGTATGTAGTGTTGTTGGCCGGGCGAGCGAAGGTCGTGTAGACGGCGGTAACATCGTAGGAGAGCGGGAAGCGGGATCTTGTCGGACTGGGCGGCAATATGGGTCAGGGGAATGGAGCTATGTAGGTATGATATAGAGCCGTCGACGACGCCAACACTGCCGAGTTGGTAGCTTGTCGCAAAATGGGGTGTTGCGAGCGAGGAAAGGGTCAGGCGCAAGCCACGGGGAAGAGGAAAGTCGATAAGTTCTAGTTCATGAGTCTTTGTATTAGTCTCCAGGTACCAATGCAGGAGGTCCACCGACACTGTTAGGATCGCACCTCTAGATGTCGCATTCAGCTCGTTGTACTTGTTGTCTTCGTTCCACCCCGTTGCGCCGTAGAAGGCATTGGTGATGTAGTTCATGAACTCGCGCATGATGGAGTGCTTCCCGTGTGGTTAACGTAGTCGCGAGTCTATCGCGCCTGGTCACCTCTGGAGTTTCATTGAGACGGTATATAAGGTAGGGAGGAGGAGAAAGAAGAGCGGTTGTTGTTGTTGATGTTGTTCAGTTGATTGTAGTTGGAAAATCAAACATTTCCACCATCGCATTTCCACTTGTCATCGAGGTACGTACCGATGCACCTAACTGGGGCTGATGGCGCCTTGGGCTGGGCTCCACAGACCCGCTCACTAGTGTAGTGTAGTGTAGTGTAAGGAAACATCCACAGTGATCGACAACAACGATGAGTGAACAACTTTACATTTTACCTCCTCTAATGTTCCCACACACAATGTTCAACACCGACTCTCCTCGTTCACGAACGTATCACATCATCAGGCTTCTAGGTTATACTTGATTCGAATTCGCTACCAAGTCTGCTAACACGACGGCGCCCGTCTTATCGCTTTAGTTGGCCTCGCCCAATTCCTCACGCCCGTCAGCAAAGACCATGTCAAAGTCACCCTCGGTCCAACGAATATCCGGATTGAGACCGGCAAACTTCCAGACGCCATTGATCTTCTTGTAATAATGGGTGTTGTGACTGTGGGCATGGCCCGTGACAGCAACCTTGGTGCAGCTTGAGTCGGTATAGACCTGATGAGGCACGCGGAGCTGGTGGTAACCGATAATCTCGGTGTCCGACACCTTCTCCCACTTGCTGATGCCGCTCATAAAGTGCTGCGTCCGCAAAAGGGGGTTGCCAATCACCTTCTTATCTGACACCATCTTGATGAACTCCTCAGCCGGCATGGCCTTCCAGAGCTTATTAAGGAACGAACGGTAGTCGATCTAAGCCCGGGTGAACATCAGCTAAAGTCACTTGGAGGGGATCTCTCATCTTACCCTCAGGGTCGGAGCGATGCACTTCCTCAGCCGTTCAAAGTCCTTGGTGTCATAGCTGTCCGCCCACTCGAAGCATGCCTCGGTACAGCCGAGGTATTCTGTTCTTCTTTTCAGCAAACATCATGGAGCTTGGGGGACAAGAACGTACGAACCCTCAAAGGTGATGCGTTTCTCGGGGTTTGCTGCGTTGGCCATGGTTGACAGTGATATTGATCAGGCATTAGAGAGGAGCCAGAAACGAACAGGGGTCAGAACAAGTCCCCAGAGATGGGCATGAAGGCCTTATCACTCGTTGTAGTCTGTCTCCCTTGCAGTTCGCAGCACCTCGTCCAAGCTCGTCTCGCTCCAAGGCTACACAGTCTTCCAAGGCTTCGGAGGACCGCATGCAATGCCCCCATTCCGGAGTCCGAGACGTGCATAGTGGGGATGTGCGGCCGTGTCCCGCAGCCCACCGTCCCGGTGACTGTATCTGGTTCGCTTTGGGAAACGCAAGGGGTGTTGGTATGGGGGCTTCCGATGCACATGCAGCCTCTCGGCTCTTTAGACGTCCCATGCTTTCCCGCAGTCCAGGATGGCTGGGTTTCCTCAGCCAAAAGCATAATGTTTTCTTCCAACAAAGAATATTACTCAAACAAGACCGTGCTACGCCATTATGGGTGAGACACCCTAGATGTAATGTGTAGTTTCAACAGCAAGACCGCCGGCGCCAGAATTTCGGTCTGCGTACAAGTACACCAGGCCTTGGTCCAAACAGCCAACAGGGCGCAAGACGCTTCTGTTGACTGCATACTGACGCTGCACGACTTCGTGCCATCAAGCGTAGCCCAGGCACAGGTCACAGGTTTAAATGTTACAGAGATCATGGAATATGCATGGTACAGTTGGTCTCGTGGCAGCTACCGGCATGTTGTTACGTTGGTCAGCCATTGTGCAGCCACTCAGCATAGACCATCAGGTCCGGCATGGCTTTGACCAGTGATGGTCGTTCTGCCGCGACTTTTTCCCAGTGGCGTTGCCAAAGCTGATGTCGCTCCAGTTGCTCCAGTCCGATTCATCGCCGTCGTCAAAGTCAGTGTCCTCGCCTCTAGTAAAGACAGCTTCTTGTCCGTCGCTATCGTCGATGACGATCGGTTCTTCCTCGGTACCTCCCAAAGGTTCGATTCCTTCCCTGGCCATACGGCGAGTTTGAACGCGTAGGCCAGATACCTTTGATTTCCTGCTTGCCTCAGCTAGCAATCTTCTTTCAACGACGGTTAACTTTCTGGTTTGTTTTGTCTTTTTGTGTCGCGCGATCTTTGCATTGGTAGCTGCAGTTTCGAGTGTTTCCTGCTTCTGTTGTCTCTTGTGCAATTCGCTCCTTTCCTGAGCTGTTCTTGTGTCGCTTCCATCGTTTCCGGCCTTTCGCTTGAGCCCAGTACTCTTCGCCGGCCGTCCACCCCACAGTCTCGCAACCTCATTAAGCTTGCTGAAGACCTGTAACCTGGCTTTTTCGCGATTCGTGCCCTGTCTCAGTAGCTGTTCATACTCCGTATGCTGGTGCCGGATATGTGCTCGCACCGCCAGCTTCACCTTGTCATCTAGCTGTACCGTCCCGCTTCTTCCCACTCTCCTGCTACGCTTCTTGAGCGCATGGCTCACAATCTTGGCAATGGACTCTTTGGGTGCGTTGGGGAACAGCCTCTTTAGTGCCTCTTCAAAGTCGCCTTCAATAGCTGCATCTCGCTTCTGTACAGCCTCTGCACGTTTCGCAGCTGTAGCCTGGTTCAAGTCTTGGACGGCTTTGAAAATGGAGGCAGGACAGCGAAGGCCGATCGGTTTCCGACGTTTGTCAACCACCACGTAAACGGTCTGGCCGGCCGAATATGTCTCCTGGCGACAATTTTTAGTAATGTATACGTCTCCCTTGGGAACAAAGACGTATCCCGATGGCATGGGATCGTGAACTCGCACTTCTGGCTCGTCTTTGTCGCCTGCCATGGTGAGACGCGTCGGTGCTCTGGTGACTATATTGTCAAGGTGACTTGGGACTGAGGGAGATTGGGAATTGAAATTTCAAATTGAGACTGGGGAAAAAGTGAAGAGGGGAAGCAGGTGAAAGAAATAACAGTGGTACTTGCAGGCTGCTTTCCGCCCTTCGAGTGTTCCGCGACTCGATGACCTTTTTGCTGAGTTGCCTGATGTTTTCTCGCGAAAATGGGTTTCCTGGTGTGCGAATGAACGAGTTTTCAACAATGACAGGAACAAAAAATGAAAACTGAACTGTCCCGCGTTTGAGAGGACCCATTAACGTGTAGCAGCTGGCTGGGCTTTGTTTGCTTTGTTTGATTTTGTTGACTTCGTTTGATTTCCACTTTCCAACGGTAACTGACGATTTCAGGGGTTGGCACCTTCCTCCACTGTTATGTGCACGGTCCACATGGGGGAATCCGAGAAGGGCGTTGATGTTTTTTTTATTATTAAAAAAAAAATTCTTCTTTTAAATTTGGGTTTCTTTTCATTTCTTTTCCAACCACATTCACGAAGCCGCATACATAATCGTCATCATTATCATCGACACACTGAAAAGTACCTCCCAACAAGCGGCCGACATGGCGCCATTCCGTCACATCGAGCATCTTTCATTACGGATACACGGAACCAACCAGGACATGGTGTACGCTGAATCAGTGGCTGCACACGAGACAGAAACAAAGATATTCCCATCGTCTAGTTGACATTGAAATAAATCAGCGATGGACCCCAACAACGAACGTTACTTTCAAGCCGTTATTCCTGCAACTCCCCATCATTCTTGGCAATTTCCGGGTACAGGCCCCTTAACCTGCTTTTCAACACGTCATATTCCTTCAAGAATTCCTCTGAATGAACCGGCATGGGCTCGCCTCCCGTTTCCTTCACGTAGCCGTTTACCCATTCCGCGAGATCTCTGACATAGGCGATCTCATGCCCAGGTGTTACCAAGGAATGGAAGAAACGTCCCCGCCCCTTTTCCTCCACACGCTTCTCATATTCTCTTCGCATGTCTTCTTGCGTCGGCAGTTTTGCCCTACCAGCGAACACCCTCGCCAACGCCTGGGCCTGGAAGTCGAAAAGTGAAAAGGTCGCGACGTGGTAGGGAACGCCAATGAACGCCAGCGTCGGGTCGTTGATGTAAAAGATATCCTTATGGAGGTTATGCGTCATAATGCCGTCCGATGTCACGACCAGCTCGTCGTCAGGATCGGCATCAACAGCCGTGTCGGAGTGCAACTGCGGGAGAAAGGGGTAGGACACAATGTATCCAGTGGCTAATACTATTTGATGAATATCTTGTAGGATTGTTCCGTCTGTGAGAACAACAAACCCGGGTATCGGCTGATTATTCCCGAGTGTCGGCTCTTCCCCTTCGATCTTTGCCTCTGGAGGGACAAACTTCTCCACTGATGCTACTCGGACGGCGTTTGGAGGCAGTACACTCGCCGGAAGGTCAAACCGTCCGTTGCGAGTGCTCTGGTACGTCTTGTGAGACACCTCGCCGAGTTCTTTACAGACGTCTGTAGCGGACACGCCGGCTCCGATCACGAGCACGTTCTGATTCCGGTACTTCTCAGGATTCCGGTACCTCTTGGAGTGAATAACTCTATCGGGAAAAGAGTCCTTCCACCCTTTTAAGCCTTCGATTTGCGGAATACGCGGCATATTGTAATGCCCCGAAGCGACGACAACCAGATCAAAATCCCTGACTTTCTCTGTGAACTGAACGCTAGGGATCCCGTCTTCAATTTCCAGCGCTAGGGTAGTGATCCTCCATTTTGAACCGTCGCTTGTCTTTCTGACATCCTCAACTCGAGTGTGGAACTCCGTCACTGCATCCAATCCGGATCTTTTGGCTAGGGACCGGATGTATTGGAGAGCAGCGGAATGGCTGACCGATGCCGGACTCCCCTCGGGCCAATTCCCTAACGTAGTTCCCATCAGTGGTGTTGGGACATTGGTCTTTAGACCGACATAACATGGGCTCGGTGGCGCGAATCGTACTTCAAGATTCGAAAATTTCGCGTCCCAACCGTCAAAAACGGCACCTGGGGGGATGTGCTGCTGATCTCCGATGGACGGTGGACGGTAAATATACGGGGGATCTTCCGGTGGGCGTTCGTCGAACTTCCATACACCGCCGGCGCCGTTGGACCGTTCAAAGACGGTCACGGAGAGTCCATATTTGAGAAGATGAGCAGCAGCACAGACTCCACTGATGCCTGAGCCTATCACCGCCACCGACTTGTGCTCCCCAAATCGAGATTCTGCATTTGATGTTGAACCGGATTGGAAGTCGGTATCCACGATGAGAGGCATAGCTTGGGGTATTTGACGTTCAAGATGGGTCGGTCGGTCGGTCTTTAGGGGTAGATGGGGAACATAAGCATGAGGGAATCCCGCTGTTGCGGCGAACATGATATTGATGTTAAAGGCAAGACGATGTGATGGCCAGCAGGGAGAATGATGCCAAGTTTTAGACTGCTTCATAAGGACATTAGTTATCTACGCGACAACCCCCGAAGTGTTTATTGTCATTATATCTCCTTAACACCATCGAGGTATCCCGCGGCCGAATGTGTTCCTCCGCGCCGTCAAGTCGTCTCATTCAGTAAGGATTGACAGAGCACGCCATCTTTGATCTGATTGCGTATCAGTAGGCGACAGACGGTTATCACAAATAAAAGCCGACATTGGTACATCTGACTAGTGACCCCCGCACGACGACAACCTTACACCATATCCCCTTGGATGACGAGATGCCATTTCAGCTGCACGTTAATTAACATTACAAACCGCCTCACTCGTTAACCAAACTTCAACACCGACACGACCAGAATTCTCGCGTACAGTCCAGTACTGGTTTGTTTGTTAGCTCAAAACCTCGGGTTAACTTTCTTATGCGTTTGAATATCCAACAAATATGTGATCTATCCTTGGAAACGGTGTTCAGTAGGTCACATCAAATTTTGTCGATGCCTTTTTGATCCGTACTCAGCCATTTTGGCTTTTCCTTGTAAGCTTTGGGACTATTCGGGATAGATTTCGTCCAGTGCACACTACCAGGGGTACCAAGTGCACCAGGCTAACATGGAAACAAACCAGCATCGGAATGTACCTCTAGAGGTACCTAACTAGGTACCTAACTAGGTACTCAAGGGAGATATTCTGGAGCAACTACCTCTAGACGTCTTCAGTTCGTCTGGCACGCCCACTTTTTGAAGCTTACACGGCAACATCCCGTTATCAGCGCCTAACTATCATCGGTTCAAGTTCTTTAGTCTTTTTCATGCGTTACAGGAAACTTGAGGTGCCATCGGGATAGTAACATATTCATTTCTACCTGTATCTACACACACACAAAGTCTCCTACTATCAGCCGCTTCAAGCATTTGGCTCTTCCGCAAGCAGCTTTCTTGCTCGTTCCCTGTGATGTAAAAACCTGACCAAGACCGCAGTAAGTATCATTGCCACGGCAATAAAAATAGAGGTCATATACCCCTTGTGGTACACCGGCGCCTCTACTTGCTGCCAAATCAGCAAGGGCAGCCACGCCTGAAAGACATAGGCCATCTCGTTCATGGTGCCCGTCACCAGCGCTCTTTCCTCGTTGTCGTCGCCGCAGATTTCATGCGCCCAAGCAAACGTCAGTCCACTGATACCTCCGCCGAAGCCCGCCAGAAAAAAGCAGGCCCATTTCCATCCGTCAGGAATGTTCCAGGCTGCTAGACTGGAGTAGATCACAATGTTCACTAGACCCGAAAAGACAATGGGCGGCCATCTAGCACCGCGGAACACAGTATCAGACGTCCAGGCGTAGATGAGCGTCGTGATCACAGTGATGGCGGCCGTGATTGTCGGATAAGTGTTCACTTCGGTGATAGGGTGTCCCTTCGACTTGAGCCACAGCTGGAAAGCTGGCTGGCCGGAGGCTCCGTTACCATTGTTGAAGAAGATGTAAAGTGCAGTGAGGAGGTAGATGTGCCAGCTGGAGAATATCTTTTTGAACTTGGCCTTGGTGTATGGCGCTCTAGGAGCACGACCTTCGAGACGCATACGCTCCTTGGCCAACGTAATCTCGTCCGCAGAGAAATACCACGCTTTGGTGATCTCGGGCAGGTCTGGCATGAGGAAGAAGCCTGAGATGGCGATGGGCAGGGAGATGACTGTGTCAATGATGAACAGCCACTGCCAGCCTTTGAATCCTCCGACGCCGGCTAGTTTCTTGTGGACTGCCGCCATAAGATACCCGGAGAACATGGTGCCTATGGCGCCACTGGCATGGAAGACGCAAGATCGCTTGGCCAGTTCGTCTTTGCGGTACCATGAGCCGATAATGTATTGCATGCCCGGGTAGAATACACTTTCGGCGAGACCGATGAAGAAACGCAAGACGTAGACTTGAGTTGTCGTCTTGCATTTGGCGAGCAAAATGGTCAGAATAGCCCATACAACTTCGCAAGCCGGGATCCAGATAGACGGCCGGATACGAGTCAACAAGATGTTGCTATGAGATGATTAGCATTGGGAGTAAGCAGAGAAAACGTCATCGGGGGATCGATACTCACCTTGGAATTTCGCCAATGACATATCCAACCGTCCAGCAAGTCTGCATATAGTTCAACTCATTGCCAAACAGCTTCAAATCTTCCTTCATTCCGGACACGAAGGCATTTGTGATGTTGACTTGGTCAAGATACTTGATGAAGTATCCGAGGGAGGCCAGAGTCAGAATCACCGCGTCAAGCTTGAAGAGGAAGCGCCTTTCTTGGGGAGACTTGTCCAATGTATCCCAGACGTAAGAACGCCAACTTCTCTTGGGTTGTTCTTGCACCAGTTCTGTTGTTTGTGTGTCTGAGGTGTACTCGTGACGGGAGCTTTTGAGGGAACTGGATGGGCCCCGAAGATCGCCCTTGGTAACGACGCCAGAATCTGTGCTTTTCGACATGATGTTCAAACGACAATGCTGGTGTTGTCATAAAATCGACGAGTACGACTCCAAGGGACTTGATCGTTTGGGGTCTTTTGTGTCCATATCGACAATCATGAGTGGCAGCCATCGCCATTGAGTCTAAGAAAGACGCCATGAGCTCCAATGTCGCCATGGCCGGTCCATCACTTACTCTGCGTGGGGGTGAAGTCAAGTCTAGACTCAAATTTGATTACTGTATTGCTTGACCCACGGATATTTTGAATGGTCGACCCAATGATGTTGGGAGTAATACAGGCCAATACAAGTTTGCTAGCTAGCTTGGTACTCTTGGTATACTGGATAACGTCCGTCCCGAATTGTCCTAAACCTCACAAGGATGAATCGAGTGGCTACCTCTAAGGACGGATCGAAAAGGCATTTACAAGCTTCCATATAAGGTTTTGAACTTCGATAATACATATTCGAGGTAAAACACTCTTTAACTATGAAACTAAACGAATGTCTTGAGCTAACAACCAAGCCTGTATTGGAGTGTAATTGTTGGTGGTGCAATAGTTCAAGTGCAGCAAAGCACACAATCCACCCCAGCGGATGGCGCAAGATGACATAAAAAGAGGGCACCAACCATCTGGGCATAACAAACATCCCAAACGCTTCTTATCACCTGTGCAGTAAATCCGGTGATCGGATATCAGTCCATACTCTTTTGTTCGTTGCAACACACTGTAATGTCGCTTCCCCAACTGGTGTACCTGAGGCTTCAAAAAGACATCACTCTGGAGGTAACCCCTCACAGCAACCGCGGCCGTGGCTCCAATCCCGCAATTACACAGACAGATTTGACCATAGATAAGGACAACTGTCAGAATTGTAATCAAGTTGCTGTGCTTGATCATCATACATCTAGCGGGGCGATACTCGTTCCGGTTCAACAACCACAATGGATGACTTCTGGAAGAAAAGTTACCTATACGGTGGCTCATGGAATGACTCTGGACTGTTGGACTTCTCGAGACATATAAACGTGCACTATATCCACCAAGCGAAGAGGGAAAAAGAACTGTACCTCGAAACAAAGTCGACACTTGACTTGCCAAGGCACTTACACTTACCATTTGTCACAATCTACATCAAGATACAACATTTACCAACTACATTCACAACATGGCGCCCGCACCAATTCTTGATTCCATCGTTGACACGATTGAGCCCAGGAAGGAGACCCTCCCTCTTCCGGAACCAGCACGTCAACGTCTCCTCAAAGCTGCAATCGACCTGTCCAAGGGTTATCCATACCGCCCATCTGTACCTCTTTACCTTCAAGACGTTTACAAGATTCGCGACGAGGAGCGACTTTACCAGGACGCAGGTGCTCGAGCTGACAAATCAAAGAAGAACCTCTTCTCAGCAGCAACCAAGGTGACCGACTTGACCACACACATCGGGACCGAGATCGAGGGTCTTCAGCTCAAGGACCTCACCCCCCAGCAGCGCGATGAGTTAGCCCTTCTTATTGCCGAGCGGAGCGTCGTCTTCTTCCGTAACCAGGACCTCACTCCCCAGCAACAAAAGGAGCTGGGTGAGTGGTTCGGCGAGGTCGAAGTTCATCCTCAGACTCCCCAAGTCCCTGGTGTCCCAGGCGTGACCGTTATTTGGCCAGACCTCTTCACCCTGGAGAGACCGGCCGACTTCCGTCGTCCTGGCGGTGCCTCAAACTGGCACAGCGATCTCGTTCATGAACGCCAACCGGCGGGTATCACCCACCTGCACAATGATACGGTACCTCCTACCGGCGGAGATACGCTTTGGGCATCTGGTTACAGCGCTTATGAGAAGCTTTCGCCTGAATTTCGCAAGATCATTGATGGCAAGTATGCCGTGTACCGCTCTGCACACCCATACATCGATCGGCAGGACCCCAATGCAGGACCCAAGTACATCGAGCGCACGCATCCGCTTGTGCGAGTTCATCCGGCCACTGGGTGGAAAGCATTGTGGGTGAATCGATCAATGACGGTGCGGATCGTGGGGCTCGATAAGGCCGAGAGCGATGTGATTCTGAACTACTTGTATGATGTCTACGAGAAGAACGTCGACATACAAGTGCGCTTCAAGTGGACACCGGGGACGAGTGCGTTGTGGGACAATAGGTCAGTAATTTCTTGATAGTGTTCATGATGTATGGTAACTTACCGCGAGTAAAACGTCCCAGAATTACCATCCACAACGCCAGCTGGGACTATGGTGGCAAGCACCCCCGTCACGGAACCCGAGTGACGTCTTTGGCTGAGGTCCCTTACTACGATCCAAACGCCCCAACACGGCGCCAAGCGCTAGGGCTGCTGGATGATCAAGAAAGGAGTGACTTGGGAGTGACTGAGTAGGTAGGTTGGAGTCATCAGAGAGTACTTGGAAAGTCCATATTTAGCTCGATGTGAAGGTGTTTCTCCCTGAAAAAGAGCAGATTTAGACCTCCCCTTTCAATCTTCTGGTAATTGAGTTGTGGTATTGGAATGTGAATGATGTACATTCTCTTCAACATAACAACCTAACCTCAACCAGGCTATCCATCCTCATTCGTGGCTTCCCTACCATGTCGGTGATCTCGAGCCTGCCATCGGCGCTCGCAAACAGCTCCTTCCACTGGTCGGTAGATCTTTCTTTAGCGTTGAACAACGATAGCATAGTCAAATCAAGTGCCCTGATCACTGCGTCCTGCGCCTTTGGCACCGAATTTGGCTCTGGCAAAACAATATCGCAGTTGACGATCCTACTTTCCGGCCCCATAGATTCGGCAATCGGTTTCAAGATTCGCTTGCAGTACAAGTCAGACCAATTGTGAAGAATGTTCCTCATGAAGTAAACGGCGGCTCCTCTGGCTGGCTCTGGTTGGGGGTCAAAGAAATTATGCGACACGAACTCGACTCTATCCTTGACTCCCTTACTCTCCATCAATTCCTCGGCCGCGCCTCTCAGATCTTCAAAGTCCTGCACCTGAAACCGCAAATGAGGATGTGCCTGCGCAATAGCAGCAGAGATATGTCCGATGCCACCGCCAACATCAACGACGAGCGCTCTGTTCGGTAGTGTCTCCCAGGGGTAGGCTCGCGCAATGCTTTCCGCCGAGTCGGCGGAGCTACCACCGGAAAAGGCGTCAAGAAATTGTCCAAATTGGACCATGTTTTCCGGGTGTCTCTCTTTGTACCCGAAGAAGGCGTCTCCGAATGCCAGCGAGAAAGCTGTGTCCTGTGGCTCAGGGGAGTCGGGGTACCGCTTGACCATGTCGACGAGCTTGGATACGGCAGGGAGCATCTCGGCATGGCGAAACCAGATGCAGGCGCGCATCTTCTCGTCAGTAGCGAGTGGCTTGGACCAGGCTGAATGGGCGACCAGACCTGGTTCAGGTTCGGCGAAGTAGAAGTTTGCTATGGCCATACGCAGAAAGCGTGGAAGAAGAGCTTCGCTTAAGCCGGTCTTGGAGGCAAGGTGATGGAAAGTGATGGTTCCTTGGAGCGGGACGTTCTGTGGAATCTCGAAATGACACAGGACTTGCATTGCGCCGAGGAGATAGATCTCGTTGAAACAGAAGTGCTTTGTAGTTTCAACTGGCCCGACGGCGAGGGCGTGGAGGGATCTAGTGGCTTCAATGAGAGCAGTGCGTGCCCGTGAGACTTCTTCATTGTCCTCGCAAATTGGCTGCCGGGGGCCATCGGCGGAAAAAGATGGCCATGGAAGTCGCCTGGATTCGATATGCGAAGATAGGAGAGTCGCACTGGACGAGATCTCATCTGCGAGCGTGGTGAGAAGTGAAGTAGAGGTGTCGGCCGGGATGTCAGACGTTGCGACCATCGTATTGAGATTCTACTAATGGAGAGTTGAAAGTTATCTGATGAACGTGCTGGAGATGTCTAGGTATTAACATCATGGCTTCTTGAAAATGGAATTAGTACGCGTGTACAGAGAGCGACGAGAACAAGATCGTGTGACTTCTACAGCAGTTGGAAGAACGGTAACCTGCAAGCAAATGTATGGCTTAGTTGTGGTGTACTTGGTGGAAGAGGATGGCCTGGCAATGGCAGCCTATTGACATGCTTCGGCGATTCACGTCGGGTTTCACATGGTGCGTTGGCTTGAAATGGAGGGAGTCGGTTGGTGACGCTGCCTAGGTAGGTAGGTACCTAGGTATCCATACAGCAATGTGCCTACCGAGTAAATGCAGCCCGCTCCAGCAGGTCATTTTGCACGCGTGCATTTACTGGGTCCTTGCATTTATACCAAAAAAAATACAGATAAACAAATCTCTGGCAATAAATGGTTCGCTACATTTACACTACAGGGACTAGCATTTCATTGCTGTACACGTGTACTATATTACGTACCTATCTAGGTATACATAGGTAGGTAGATTAGCGGGGGCTCGTGAGTCCCGCGGGCTGTAGGGCTGTTAGCGCCTTCTCCAGGTTTCGGGTGGGCCTTTGCGCCTGGGTATGTACACTAGGAGACTAGCTGGACGGGCATTTAGCATCTTCCCCGCCGTCGGGCGCAGCCTTTTCACAATTGTTTGATTACACTTCTTGACTCTCTTCTTCCTTGCCGTCCCTCTGCCTTAGTTTTTGACATGGCGGCCCGGCCTCGAGAGTTGCGACATCTACCAAGCGCACTTCACCAATGGCAGGATCCTGCCCCACCGAGGCTTGGCCCCTACTTTGGCTTGATTCTAGTGTCTCAATCTGATACAAGACAATATGGTAATTATGTGGCGGTGAGATGAGAGGAAGAAATTAGTTGTCTCAGCTCCTACGCGTCTATACTGTAAGGCCAAGGGCCATTCATTGCGAGACTATCAAAACATTCAGGACCGTCACTAATGTTCTGTCCTCTCATCGGCAGTTCCGAGACAGCAGCGAGCTCGGTGTACGTATGTATGCTACTACATGCCGACCACCACGCGTCCTGTCCGTAATCACTAACTCCACGAGTAACATTACACTAACACAATCGTAGATCTCGTGGTACAGAATGACGTTTTATTACAACTATCTACACGACCCATCCGTTGCTCAATCAGCGTTCTTCCCCTATAGGGCGATATTCGGGAATCCACACTCAGGCATACTGCCAGGCACCAACAGTACCGGACGGGAGAGGGTTGATCTTGAGGTTGACAGGAGTGCAGGCGGTCAAGCTAGCCGCGTTCGTCTCGTTTCTTCCCACCAGGTTCCACGCGGTGCCGCCACCGCCAGAGGCCTGAGGAGGGCAAGCAACCCAGCCCCAGCCATTACCGTTCAGATTGACGAAGCCACCACCCTCGTACCCACCGAAGCCCTGGGTTAGGCTGCCCGCAGGAATGTAGGCCGAGTGAGCTTGGGTGTAGTGCATGTTCCAGTCCGGTCCAAGATAGGCTTGCTGTCCGCCGGGAACCATGGTGTCCATGGAGAGGCCACCGTTGCCGGCGAAAAAAGCCGTGATGTTGCCAGGGGGACACGCGGCACCAACCACCTCGACGGGGCAGTAGGTGCTAGTGTTGCCTGCAAGGCTCAAGTGCAGACCGCTGGCAGTCACGGGCTTGCCGTCGATAGGCAAAGTCGGGTTCGACACGCTGAGGGTGAAGGGTGTCCCAGTGTGAGCGGGCAGCAAGCTCAGGACGTTGTTCTCGCACTTGTACATGAACTTGCTATAGCACGCTCCGTTGCAGAAGGAGAGGGGCTCGCCAGCCGTGATGGGGCAGAGGAACTGATCGCTCCAGCAGACGTACTATCACCTACGTGTTAGTCATATGGCTTCCTCCGGCAGCACCCGTGTCTCGACATCCCAGACATACCTGAGCAGGATCGTACTGTGACTGTCCACAGCTACTCAAGGCGTTTACGGCGCTGTCGCCGAAAGCAAGAAGAGCCGCGCTGAGGAGAGTGAGTTTCATCATGGGTAAGATCGATGAGTGAGATTCTGATGATGATTTCGGTTCTACCACCATCGGATACAAAGCAGAGGGCAGCGACCCGACATTTATATCACTAGGCGGTTCACCTGTCTTGCTGGTGTCACTACAGGATCATCAAGATCCTCACCTAGCACCTCAGCCGAGGGCCCATCTTCGCAGCAGCGTGCCCAATGGGTAAAGTCTTTTGGTGGAATGTCTCGTATCGTATTCCGTGGCACCGCTTGGCTGATAGACTAACGTTGGTAGCAGCGATCTCAGGTAACCTTTCCGAGGCCTTGGTCAGCCTCTTTTCTCCATAACCAAGCGCATGATTGGACCACCCAGCACATGTTTCTCCGCGCTGACATCGATCAGCATCGGCCCATGTGGTTAATGTCGTAGTTGTGCAGTTCTCCATCCCGAACAGGCCGATTCTGCACGATTCCACTGGAGGCCCCTGCAGGGTCGACCACCCCAGCTTGTCCGAACGATCATCAGTGACCCCAATAAATGGGAAATCCGGTTATGGTCGCCAGTGGCGACAGATACAGTCTGTTAGTGCGGTTCTTGCAACGGAGGTCTGCAAAATTCACAGAAAAACGGCTGGACAACACCAGTAACAACTGAAAGTTGAATAAAGTAGGTATATACCCGTTCAAAGAGTATCTAGTTAATACGAGCTCCTTCTATTGAATTTGGTGGAATGGTGGTTGAGTTGCGTAGAGTGCGTGTTGAAAACGCGCGCTAACTAACGCCCGGCACCAGGGGTCAACTGTACAGCGCCGTCGGTATGCACGCCGGCCGCCATTGATGGAACCTGAGTAATCCAAGCACCAATCTTTACACCACAGTACCTCACTACACTAGTCGAGTCCTCGTATTCACCAGAGTCATGTGGTCGGCTGAAGCGCTAGTGTGGTGTAGAGAGCATGGGAATAGCCTGGGGGATGATCAAGCCTTCATGATAAGGCCGAATTTCCCTCAGCTTTTCAATCCGGCACCGCACTTCCGTGAGCCTAGACAATTATTTCTACGTATTGTCGTCATGGATAGGCAACCGTCGGAGTTACCCATTCTTCACATTTCACGCTGGTAGAGAGAAACCATCAGCCCATTGTAACGTTGATACTGTCATATAGAATGAGGTCAAGAAGTCATGACTCGCACTACGTCAGAAAGCATACCTCAGCTTGGAGGTGGGGACGTAACAAGCTTCCTCTCCGTGAAGGCCCTAACCCCGGCCATGCCATCGAACAGACCATAGCCACTGCTTCCACCAGTCCCTTTTGGGGCAGAGTTGCCTCGACATACACGGCAGGCCCGTTGATCTGACAAGCACCTGCCCGAACTGCCTCGCAATATCCAATGCTCTGATAAATTCCCTCAAGCAAACGCTTGCACAAAGCAGAAACTCACTATCATGGGTCAGCGCAACTGCTTCCTCATCGAGTTCGAATCCGAAGAGGATCATGACGAAAACCAAACGACTCCGATTCCTTCTTCATGGGGCCTCAGAATGATCTTGTTGGGACCCGTGATTTTAAGGTCACCCGCAAGCAGCTTCGTGCCGTCGCCATGAACCGCTGACTTAACCAGGTCAATGACACGTCTTGCTGGTGCCGGCTTTAAAGGCTGGACTCAAATGGCTTCAACACGATTGTGTTCCCGCAAATGACAGAACGGGCCACCGCTTTTGCCGTGGAAATCACCTATTGATACTTATCAGCGCTTGAAAAATATAACAAGCTCGGGGCAAGCTCCGCATTATTTAGGTACTGGGCCGTTCCAAGGAGCTATTCCAAACACGACACCGACCAGCCGTCTCTCATGAATGCCGTCGTCCAAGGCCGATCCGTCTGGATGATTTCGTCTCGTATCTGAGCGGCCTGACCGGCAATTTCCCTCAGTGTCCCGGCGATGGAGTGAATGTTGATTTTAACCCGTCAACCTGGCGCCGAGGTCTCCTGGGACATTATCTCACTGCTATACTAGTAGCGTAAGTACAACTCGAGTATGTCGGCAGTCTCCAGAAGACCGTCGTTTAGCGGTAGGACCTGTCTTCGACCGTGACCGGTATGCCTCGTAGGCAGTTGTGATGGCAAGACTGTAGTCATCGACAGAGACTGATGCGCACATGTATATGTGCTGACCCGTCATCGGGTTGTTGGCAAGGAAGGTGGCACCGTCCGAGCTCGGTTGGGACAGTCCATTGATGTACTATGTATAGCAGCTGTAGTTGTTCCATGAAGTGGACAGGCCAGGGCTAGGTATGTTCATGAGTTTCGGTCGTCTGTAAATTTGACTGACGTTGCTTGGTCTTTTTACAACTCAGTCAGTAACTGTCTAATTGAGTTGTCTTTAACTTGCAAACACGACGAATCCAGCTGGGAAATCCGGTACCACAACAAGGGTAAAGTCGCTTAAGGCTTGAGTGTCGAACAGGGCCGAATGCTTCATATGGGTATCTGCCTGCAAGAAGAGCTCCCAGCGTAGCACTTGTGACGCCGTCTAAATAACTTCTTCGTCTTTAAAAGTATTGCGCCCCACACAGTTTTCGAGGTCAGTACGTACATCCATGAGAACTTACGCAGAAAGACAAGGTCATGAGCTGGGTGCGATAAGCTTCCTAATGATGCCGAACTCAGAACAGGTAGCGCGCTGTTCTACACAGCGTATATCAATACAATGTGAGACCAGCTGACCAGGGACAGTAGGTAAGATCTCAGCTACCTGACTGACGACCTTGAACGGAGAGCTACACATCTACGTCTGCTTCTTTCCTCGACGCCTCTTCCGCGCCCTTTTCAACTGCCCGATACGGAGCTGTTGCACCCACGATCTGCAATAATCGTGGATGGCCTGTGCCAGTAGTAGGAGCCCAGTGGCCAACACCACAGGGACCGCAATTTTCCAGCTACAGTTTCGAGATTAGCAGAGAAGTGACTAACAGAGGCATGTAGGGTTACTCACAAGTAGTCAATCGAGTGATTTGGCCCGGGAAAGTGTTCAAAGTTTTGACCAAAGTAGCCGGTAAGGAACGTCAGGGGAAGGAAGATGATGGTGACTATCGTAAGTTGCTTCATCGACTCATTTTGTTTTGCCGATATCGTGTTGAAGATGAGATCAATCATGCCCTCAGCCGAGCCCTTCAGCTGGGTCAATGTATCAGTGATCAAGAGGCAGTGATCAAGAACATCTCCAAGATAGATGTAAGTTGTCGGTGTGATGATGACGCCATGACTCGGGTTTTGAAGATTTCTGGTTGCTGCTTCTTGTGACATATTTGTTTTGTGGTCGCGAAGAGCGTTTATGAGAGTAATCACTGGGTTTATAAAGCTCAGCATCTTGTTCATCTCAGTGACGAGAATGTAAAGGCTCTTGGTGTGCTTGATATTGGGCTTGGTAAGCACGTCGAGCTCGAGATCGCCAATAACTTCAGTATAGCACGTGGTCACTGGCATCGCTAGGTCGATGATGGCGTCGATGATAGCCTGGCCAACCATTGAAGCGTCGCAAGACTGCCGGATGATGGTATCCTTGGTTTGGAGACGGCGGATGATGGGAGCCTCGACGTCTTGAGCCGAACACTCGAAGAAACTGATAATAGTGTTATCTTGAGTAACGAACATAGCTACCTGTTCGCAGGCAACGGCAAGATCCCTAGACATTAAGGCTGAGTGTTGTTCCATGTAATGAGTGCGTGGCTCATCCCATCTCGAGTGGTATGTCTGTAGTGTCCGAAGCCCGTGAAGATTTAGATTGCGGAGGGAACTTGGTGAGGAGCCGGTCTGGCCGCGAGGACTAGCTGGTAGATTGGGATTCCCTCTCCCGAGCTTCCGGTCCAGGGAAACATTTCTTGCGCGGGTGTAATATTCTTTCAGGCGGCTATAGAGGTTAGGACCGCCATCGCCACCCAACTCACCATTTCTCCCACTGTTGTTCGCTTTATCGCAATCAACATATTTTGATTCGCTTTCTTGGGCATCTAAGTTCTGTATGCGAACAAGTTTCTGGAGAGTCAAGACAATAAAAACATGAGTTGGGAACCTAATATCTTCGTCAGATCCTGACCGAGTTGATGAAGGGTCCGCACGCATATACACACCATTCGGCTTTGGTTCTGTTGCGCGGGTTCAAAAGATCTTCGATAGCAAGTCGATGCAGGTTCTTGTGCCGACCCAGTAGCTGGATGACATCCCAGCTCAGACCATTGACGCTGATCCAGCGGCATTTGACCCATTCCGGCTGGGGCAGGCTTATAAATGAAGCGAGCGTTTCGTTATTATGCCTATATGTCGCAAGGCGATCGTGTGAGAAGTCGACCACGGTAATATCACATGGTACACTAAGAGTAGGCATCGAGGCATGTCCTCCATCAGCCTTCCTCGGATCCAGCCCTGGTTCTGCGCCAGCTGAAAAGAATCATAATCAGCATGCGACTTGGGAAGCCGGGTGTAGGATATCAGCGTACGGTGCCAGCCAGGCCCACCAACATCAAAGTCCTGGAAGTCGTCAACGGTCTTGAAAATACCAGAGCGAACAGTCGAACGACGGCAGACGTTGGGAAGATCCGCGGTAGATACGGTGGACCGAATGTCCATGCGGACCGGGTTAGTGCCCATTGTGTTGTCAAATGGATAGTATACGTGAGGCCTCGACCATCGGTCGTCACTTAATCTACCACCCTCCCCATCTCCAACCGCTCCTTCCAGGGTCATGGACGGTGCTGGCCGTGGTCCCAGTGCAGCAAAGTCACGGGCGTTGTGATATTTTCCCACATTCGGGATTGCCTCGTTGTTTTCAGCAACAAAATCGTGACTGTGACTGCGACCGTGACCGGCGTAGTTTTGCACCCCGAGGTTATCAACATGACTTGGCGACCTGGATCCCATTGTGCTCCGATAATTTTCAAGAGACAAATCCTCCTATCGCGCTTTTGACCGGAACGATATCAGGTGCAGGGTAGCTGACATGCCGCCGATGGAGAGTACCCACGGTTCGCGAGGAAGGGATGCAAAAAGAGACAAATAAACAGGGGGGTAGCTTGGGGAGGAAGATGCTACTTGTGATAGAGAGCTCGAGTTCCTTGCATAGGCGAGACCTATTGAACCCAACGATGTAGTGATATACTTGATATCCTTTTTTTATCGTGTCTCGAACCAAGGTTTGTTACTTGTAGTTGTATAGGTCTAGTTGTTGCATTGGATCCTAGGAAGTGGCAGATCATCCAACGTCGCGTGGGTTTTTCTTGGCAGTTAGCTCACGAACAAACAAACCAAGCCTTGGAAGCGAAGGGCATAGTAAATAAATATTATACAAATCATAAATATTAGAGAAACCGGTTACACAGCGAGACGAAAAGGACAGATGGAAGATGTATTAAAAATGCTAGAAGGAAAAGGAACAAAAAGAGCAAATAGGAAAAAATTATGGGGCCACCCGGGGATTGAACCCGGGACCTCTCGCAAGAATGCTCAGGATTGAACCCTAAGCGAGAATCATACCACTAGACCAGCGGCCCTGATTGGTTATTGAGATTGTTCTTACAAAAGAAAGCCTATATTCTGTTGAAGTCACTCTCTGCTCGTCGGGGCAGCTGTAATCGCACCTTATTCCACCACAAACTTCCATCCATATACTCATCTCAAAATCTGCAGATCTAAACTAGGCATTATTTCTTGTTCCTAAGCTTTGCCATGGGCGGTGGATTGGGTTGTCCCTAGACACACTACTATTTGTTGCAATCTTGCCCAATTATACTCGAAGCTTTCATCACTTCACAGCCTGTGACCAAGTTCACTCCAGTCATCTACAACTGAAGACCGAGGTAATGCAGCTAACGCAGTGTCGGTCAACAGAGTCCAGTAGCAGGCAATAAAGCAAGACCGGGGCGCGTGCAAAAAGATACACAAATCGAATCATCGAAGCCGTGGCCGATTTGAATATCAAAAACCCGACATAAGTACGCGAACATCGATCGGGTAGATTAGGTACTCTCCAGCTGAGAATTCACGTCTCTAACACAACTACCTCTACGCATCTTCTCCCATGCCTCGAGTCTGGACTTTCGCTCACGGAACATCTTTCAACACTTTCATTCTTATTCTCCCCTACTCCGGCTTTTGACCGTACGCCACCTTCCACCTTACATATCCGTGTATGCTCATATCTTTCAATTCTCTGCGCGCATAAGCAGCAAATACCGCGATCTGCTCCTGTGTCCATCCCAATACATTTGCGAACATATACTGCATGACACCTTCAACATCGGACGAGATCGCCGCGTAATAATAGAGGCCAATTTCCTTTTGCTTCGGGTCCTTTGGCCAGGGCGAGGTAGGCATCTATAACACCCAAATTAGCGTTCAACTTCCGCGTGCCAGTGCAACTGCTATTAGGCACAGTGCAAGGGGCTTATTTTACCGACAAGCCTGTTGGGCCCCGCATTCATGAATGGGGATCAAATATGACCATACCTTGAAATTCTTTACTTCGACGTTTATAAAGCCGGCATCCCTCATCGCCTTCTCCATCAGGCCATTGTCAGCCATCGCCATGATCTTCCCAATTTTCTTGCCCGCCGCATCAAACAATTTACCCCACTGGCCCCATGCAGACTCGGGGAGAACACTGCCATCGTCAGACTTGATCATTGTCGAAAGATCAGAATGCTCGAGTTTGGTAGAAGGTATTTGTAGTAGTTAATTAATATAAAAATTAATTGAATACGACGATTAAACGTATATTAAGGTAGTAAATTGAATAGATACATATAGTATAAATAGGTGTAATATAATTACATACAGCATAGTATAGTGTAAAGTACTAGTGTAAATAGCCATATAAAAAAGAGTAAAAGAAATAACTAAATTAGAGGGGATATCGCGTATATTAAAAAGAAGAAATTTTGCGGGTAAAACCGGGATTTACGATGTCAGGTGTAATTAGTTGAACCGCCCTATTTTTCTGGTGGGGATGCGTACTTGTAAGTTTTTGGTGCGTGTCGGCAAGTTAACGCTAAATAAAGAAGAGGAAGAATTCGATATACTTGACTCCACTAATCAAATACACATGCGGCCGTCTATTATTATTAAATTTACCCTATAGACTATGTGTAAAATACACCACCCCATTGTAGGTTAATTATTATTATACTTATTAGTATTTACGGTTTTAATATTGGATAAATTCCGCTGAGTATTGTCGGAGGTATGTAGTATTAACTATAGTATTCCGAATATTTTGCAATTTAGATTAGGCGCCTTCTAGTATACCGTAGCGGGAGTATAGGGAGCGTGACAAGGTTTATTGAAGTCAACAGGCCTTGTTGTATATTAAGGCCCAATTTCTATAACAAGGCCTATTGATTTTAACAAGCCCTGTTGAGCTGAGGGAGGCTTCTAATTGGTCGGATTTGGGTATAAAATAGCAAAAGCTAAAGACCCCTATAATAACCTTCTAGAAGCTATTATAAGGGTCTTTATCTAGTAACTATTATAGTAGTCTTTTAGGGGGGTTGATGGGGGGGGGGTTCTGGACTTTGACTTTAAAGTCTGGATGTCCGCGTGAAACTTTTCACGCGAAAAAAAGCTGACTCCAATTGGAATCGAACTCACAATCTCAGGAAAGAAAGCGACGATAAGCACTATTGAACCACTAGCTCATTAATTAAAGTAAAGGTTTGATTTCCTTAGCTATATATTGTAAGACGACAACCCTGTCGGGTAGCACCAACCCAATCGGGACGACCTGGGTAACCAGGCGCCACCAGCAGGCAAGCAAATCGGACTAACCTATATCGCCAGGGTATAAAACCCAGGCAGCACATAAACTGTAGGCAGAATAGTTCATCAGACAATTAATACTATTAGATTATTTTATATAACTACGAGCCGTTTATCTTACAATAATATCCAATAAATAATTAATATAAATTATTCATCCCATACTATACCATTAGATTTCCTTTTTGGAAATTATCTCTTTATTAACGAACGCTCCGCCCGGCTACTACACCTCGCTTAAACAAGCTACATACCGGCTTACAGACCGCTATTAACCAACTAATTAATTATTATTATTCATTAATACTATACCCAAAATAGACTTAGCCGACCCGGCGACCATTAGAGATCTACGCTATATATTAAATTTCATTTATCTAAACCCGCATTTCCAATAGGTCGGACGGTTAAACCAATTAAAACGCAAAGCGTTCAACCGAATTATTACAACTCTACCTCCTCCTAACGAAAACTTATCGATTGCCTTATTATTTATAATATAATTAATACGTCGATTACGATAAATTTCCTTATCCTCCTACCTAAATAATTAGACTCTCGATTACTATATCCCAAAACAACTTTTAAATATAGTACTTAAATTAATACTACCGCTATAACCAATCCTTCCTACAATCGAATAAAACGATAAATAGCAGTACAATCAACCGGTTGCTAATTAGCAGCTAATTATTATACTTCTCCCAACTATAATTAAATAAAACGAAAATTAACTAACCGATAACCAACATTTTTATAATAAGCAATCTACTACCTAAAAAACCAATAATAAACCCTCCGCTACCTAAGAACATTCTTACAATAAGCCGAACATTACCTAAAATAACAATTAAAATAATTAAACGCCCGAAGTTATCGACGAATTACTCCTCGAATATAGTATTAATAATAACTACCCGGTTAAACGATAATAACCCCCGCAAATAAAAAAAAATTACCAATTTCAATTATACTAACGAAATCGCCCCCTCCATATTTATAGCCCAACGATTAACCGTTTAAATAATTACTAGTAACTAATATGAAAAAAGATAATCAACTAACTAATAGAGGGGAAACGCCGATTATATCGTTCAAATTCAATACCCGCAATTTTTTCGACTCTACCGATAAACCCTTCTCTTCTCCGGAAATCGACCCCTTCTTTTCTCTAAATATTAACCCCATTATCAACGATTAGGATATACAACGTTCTTATATTAATATAGAAATAGTAATAGGAAATACTATTAAAACCGAACTGCAAAATATACTATATAATATTAGTATAGCAGATATTAGTAATCCGCTGATACTATTCAACTTATATAAATTAAATTTGGCCCAGAATCCTTATAATCGTCAACTATCGGCCGAATCGAATATCCTTATACCCAACGTACTACTAAATACAATAACAAACCTAATTAATTATATAGTTTAATATTTAGCAAATATCGGATTCGAATAAACTTCCCTACTAGCGACAGTAGAGTATCCGTCGATACAATTATTATTATAGTAAATTTAAAATAGAACAGCAATTATAATTCCCTCTAATTTAAATTCGATTTCCCTTAATAAATCGAATAGTATACCGGAAATTATATTAGCGGACTAGGTATAATAGTAGTTATCCCCCGCAAAGATAATAGATACTAGAAAGAGCGAACCAATTAAATTACTAATTATTATTGTAACTAACCCAATTTTATTAATAATTCCTTATAAACTATCCCTAACCGATAATAAACAATCCCTAATAAACCGAACGGTATCCCTAAAGCCTCCTAAAAAGGCACCCAAATGGTAAAATCCCCAAACTCCTTCTTTACCGCCGCAAAATAAATAATAAAGCAAATTAATAACGCCGCTAAGGCCGTTAAAATAGTAAAAAAGGAAAACGCTAACCAAAACTAGACCGTCGTTAACCTACCTTAAATCTATTAAAACCCCGCTCCTAAATATTAATTTCCTTTATCCTTATACCCTTTAATACAAATTACAAAGTCCTCCTAGCGTTATATTCGCGCCCTTACCCCTAAAGCCCTACTTACTAACTAAAACCTCGTTTTCCCCTAACATCTCTAAATTGCCGCCCAAAGATCAATATATAATTAAACTACCCTCTAATTCCTAGTCCTCTATCGAAAGGCAAAAGGTATTATAAATATTACTTTATATACCCCGTAGGCTCTAAATAGCTATTCAACGCCAATAGTAACTAACTAAACAAAGTAATATAAATTCTATCTAATAAATACAAATAATAGTACGGCTACTAATAATGATTAAAATAGTAATTAGTATAACAATTATAGTAAAAGTACTAGTAACAATAATAATAACGCTAGTACAACTAGTAAACTAAAATTATTGGACGCCGACAAAGAACTATACTACATTACACATATAATTAAAACTATAAGTAAGATAAATAACAATAAATTCGAAACTATAGCTAACCGCTTCGCTAATTCCCTTTAATTTACTACGTTTAACGGCTAGAAGATCTTAATAATCGGCTATTTCTAGCCCAATACCAAAGAAAAAAATAGTAATATAAAAAGCGATTATTTTTAAAAGAAAGATAAGATCTATATTACTTCGCTATACCTTTTTGTTGAAACTATTAAAAACAATATAGTTAATAATAATTTTGAAATAAATACTCTTCGAAAGAATCTCTATTAATTATTTATAGGCGGAGCTAAAGTATAGTATATAAACCAACTCAATACAAAGACCCGTATAGCAGTAAAATAGAATCTAAATAGCTAGTACATTACAATTCTTATGCATTAGAAAATACCCCGCACCTAAGTATTAACTAACCTCAACGTATTAGAATATTTGTACAAAGACTATCGTACCGGAAGGCCACCCCGCAATATCGCTATAGAAATCATCCGCTATTCAAAGGAACTTAATAAAAAAAATCGAAGTACATATATAACTCAAATCTACAACTACCTATACCCCGGCCTAAAAGATTTAATTGTCGAACCTGCTAACAATATAACTCTAAATAAATAACTAACTTATTTAAACCGCCGCACCGAAATGCACGGTCTTAAAATTATCAATAACTTGGGAAGTTATAATAATCATTTTAAAAAATAAATACTAAGGGCTAAATTTAATAGCAAGCTCCCGAATATTAAAGCTATTAAAACCGCCAATTTTATAAAGTATAAAGACGTTAAAAAAGACCCAAATATAGCGCTCTAAAGAAGGGATAATTGCCTATATAACTACTTTAGCCTATTTTTTAATTGCAATAATAACTACCAACAATCATCTTTGGCCCCCTCAAACCGCAGCAATCCCGGATATCGCGGATCGTCGTCCGGCGGATATTAAAATAGTTTATAATCGTACTAGGGAGGCTCTTCTTTATATAAATATCGTAGTTTATCGGGAAATAGCTATCGGAGTTTATTGCGCAAGTACAACGGCCCATCGTCTAATTAGCGTAGTAATTTATTCAACCAAAGCTAGCGCCGCTAGAATCGCTTATACCAACGTATTTATTATCAGTATATTAAATTTAAGCTAGAGCGCAATAGTATTTACTCTATCGAAGATAAACGTAAAACTTATTAAAAAATAAACGAACTAAACTCCGAGGGAGAATACCTTAAGGGACAAAGTTTCGAAGAAATTAATTAAAATTATAATTCGGGAGAGGAAGAAGTTTTCTTAACTATCGACTCGTCGACCGGAGGCAACGCATTAATAAACATCCCTACTAGTACTACTAAATCTAATATTAATTCCGGTTCTACTTATCTATTATCGCACAACATAAATCGCCGAACGTATAGAAATTATAACGAAATTTTTCCTATACATAGTAAAATATTTACTTATATTTATACTAATTTATATAC